TATGATCGATTTCTGTACAGTATGAATTTCACTGTCTTACGTAATCCCGATTCGTAATGCCGATGATGATAATTTTACGTATTCGTAGTCCCGATAATGATAGCATCCACGCTTAACTAACTATTGAACTGTGGATCACGCATTCCGGAGTACCCGGGCTCTATTTCGGTGTGCATTCCAGCTGTATAATTTTAGACATTTGCGTGGTGTCACGTTCAGACCTCTATAGTTACTGTATATGCTGGGGGACATGAGGTGCACGCCTTGCGCCACGCTAAGCACAGCACAATGTTGTGTGCGCTCTTAGCCACGGCGGCACGGGCGTCCCAGCGAAAGTGATCGCATGCACTACCTGCACAATAAAAACTTTTATCGGATTGCACTTCATGGCATAGCCGTGCGTTATCTGGGCTTCGTGTGGTGCAGCTCTCTTCTCGTGTAGCCTTGGCTATATAACTGCAGTAATACTGACGGAGCTAATGTTCAACGGAAGCTGCACCATGTAGAAACTTGTAACGTGTTATAATATTATAGCGATGGCCTTTATTGCGGTGCAATAGAGTTAAATCGAGTTTAAGTTGGATAGATAGTTCGCAAGTAGTGAATAACTTGAAACAAACGAGAGACCACGACTGTTGACATGTTATCGCATAATTGACTTGTCGCATAATTTTTTGTGACACGAGAGAAGCCACGACTGTTGAGGACATGTGTCGGAGCTCGTTATGTAGTTGTGTCTCCCTGAGGCATGGAAAAAGTGCTGTGCAAAGTAGATGGTTGCAGGTCCTGGCACATGTCTGGCTTCTTGTGTAATAATCGTTATCGTTAGGAATTTGAAGGTCGTTTTTGGCTTGTATATCGCATCGTTATAATTGACGTGTGCTGCAGCAACGAACAATAGATCGGTATAGGTTGTTAGCGTTCGTATGTTACGCTAACTAAATGAGTTCGTATGGTATGTCAATTATGGTACCTTAACTAATGTCAAGTTTCATCTGCAGACAACTGTATGTAGATGCTACTCACTGTAACTTCTACAGTGAGAACCAATACTTTATCTCTCTAGTTTTCAGTGAAGATCGAAATATTTTGTTTTGATCCATAAATGAAACAAACACGGAAAAGACACGGAAGTGAGAAGCATGAATTTGGCTTCTCTTAATCTGTCTGTATGATTTTATATCACTTCGGTTGCCAGATGTATGCGATAGATAGTAAGTACGTAATCCCTGCAAAAGATTTTAATTCATGGTATTCGATCTTAAATGCACTCGTACATTATGTAACTCTCTGACGCAACTGCTCAGAATATGTATCAGAAATATATACCAAAGATCTGTAAATATTTGCAGCATCATTAAGATTGATATATTCCAATTGCCTGCCCTACAATAGATTCTATGATGAAATGTTGGATAAAGTTTACCTTTTTAGGCATCTTTCAGTTGAATGCGTAAATCCCAAGCTAAGCTTACTTTTGATAGCGGATTTAATTATGCTTGATTTTTTCCCTTATCTTTTAGGTACCCATCAATCTACACTGCTGGACATTTATGGTGTTAACTGGAGTTATCGTACTTCTGTTTCGCAGCGCCTTAATTACCACATGTATTCAGCTAATATCAACTTCCTATATGATGGAACTATGAGGTATCTAATTTCTAGCCTTCCACTTGGATGATGGTAAAATACTGCGTAACTTCATTAGCAAATAACAAAATGAATGTCATATAAGCTTTAGGATGATTAAATTAATTATTAGTTTTACCCGAAAATTTTCCCTGTTTTTGCTGTTCATACTGTAGTACTTTGCTGGCGTGTGTGATGCGGCAATAATTCCTTCAGACATCTGACGTTGATTCACGTTAAACTAAATGTCGTTTGGTCGCATCAACATTAATTAAGCTTTGTTAAAACGCCATTTGCCGGGTGGGTTTGGCAGTAGCATGAGACCCGCCCGCCGTAGCGCGTACAGGCGGGTGTATGGGATAGCTTGGTCGTAAGATGCTACCAGGCGACTTAGAGGAATCAATAGCTGGTGACTGCTGTGCCACTGGCACACTTCCATTATATTGATCAGAGGGGGGACTATCGTCTGGTGCTATCGCTTTCAGTACTCATCCTCCCCGCCTCAACAACGTTAAGCTCCACACACGCTCCACACACAACTATAAACGGCTTCACCACGTACTATACAGTATATGCATAGCAGCGCTGCCGCAAACTGCTGACCGTGAGTGCATATACACCACGAGTCAGCGCGATTGTGTGTGTGTCCAGTTTATTGGTAGTTAAAAATTCAAGTCCTCATATTCTACATTGACCTCATACGTGACAATAAGTAAAAGACTCAATGAAGTGAAAAAGTTCTTACTTTCCTCAGAGTTTGCATGTGGTGCATACTGAATTTAGGAGGCATTTGAGGAGGAAGCGCAGTAAGGCATTTTCTATTATTTTAGTTACTGGAGTCTAGTCGTAAACTATATTCTATTTAATGCCTTTTATTTATACTGATAGAACAAAACGGGCTTCGAATTGTTCCTCACATTACCTACTTTACTTATGCATCCCATCATCTGCCAGTTATTGTTCCTACTCCTTCGTTTCAAAATGAGCAACCCACATCGAGCATTATTGTATTTAAATTCAGTTAATTGAATGAAGTGCAACTTTATTTGTCAAGTGTCGCGCATATAATTTATTATGTCGTGAGAAGACGACTCTGCTTGGGCTTTCTGCGTGAAGAGCACGAGTTGTTTTTTCTTATGTTGCGTTTGCCGTAGGTATGTCTCGTTAGAAACACTATAGTATTCATTTGCAGGCCACCACCAGCACTCTCGTCCAGAAAGAAGCCTGACATGACATGCTCCGCCATGAACGAGCACTGTAAGCGCAAACGGTACACACTGCATAGACAAGATCGAGCACTCTAAATGTAATCTGTGCTCACTGTACAGCCAAGTCCGAGCACTTTAAACATTAAGACCCGAAGATTTACTCATCCTTGTATGTGCAGACTTAAATGTTTTTGGTTTTCTACTTGATGTTGAGTAAGTGAGGCCGACCACAGCTGAGTGAAGTTACTCTCTCCAACCTCTAGTGCTGCGCGGTTTCCCTGCTGCTTATGAGTGATGCTTAGTCACCAAGCATTTTCTGTTGGTTTCTTAATGTTTGTGAGTTGTGTGAGTATTTTTTTGGTCTCGGTTAAACCGGTGACTTTGGGTTGGAGTTGTGTTGTTTTAAAGTTATGCCGCAATCTTGCTGTCACCATGTATATTTTACTGAGTAAACTTCTTGAAGCCAGAAAAAAGTGTTTTCTGTGAGCCTTCTTGCGGGTGTTAAAATATTGGGTTGGGAAATGTTTGAGAAGTGCTCATCTTGTTATTCAATGCTGCTGTACTTATCTCATATGTATTATTTACAATGCGTCACATTTCCATGCCATCTATCTAAGCATTTAAGGTTCCATCACCTTTATTCCTTACAAAGTTATTTCTTCAGAGAATGGAGCCTCGTACGTGCTCCTCTATTTCATTCATTTATACACACTTAATACTCACGTAAAAATAGGTACGTAATCAATTATGCTCCCGTTCTATACTTAATCAAATCTTCCTGAAAGGTTCTGAGATTTTATATTTATCAGATATAAGGTGTATACGATTTAATTAAGTCACGAAATTATTTTCTGTAATGTTTCAAAGCTTGAATTTTTGTAATGACTATTCACTGATGATTTATTAACCTTAATCAAATTAATTTTTGTGTTAGGGTAAGCATGAATTAATTACAAGTGACGATGCGTTGCCTAAATTTTAAAGCATTGTGGTGACACCGAGCCCGATAAGGAGATGTAAATAACGTCTACTGTAAACATTATCTATATTCTCTTATCTTTAATAAAATTTGCTTAAAGAAACAATTCTACCATCATATACCGGTACTTGAAATTATTATATATATATTATTATCAGTATTATGACAAAGAGTGCCAACTACACATTCACATATTTATGCATGCCTTCATCGACAACAATATTATTTATTAGATACATTTAATATTAATTCTACTTGAAACATGCAATTCACACCCAGAAAAATGAGTGAGACTTTGCTATAATGTCAATGTACTTTTGATCCTCTTGTGGGTCATTATGCCTCACTTTGGCTCAGTAAAAGAGCGTATCAATGCTTCGTCCGCTCCTTGGGCGGTAATGTCGCTTTTTGGACAAAATGACGCATTAACTTCAGTGAGTGCATGGGTTCGTGCCTGATGCCCTGGGAGCTGCCCCCCTCCCCCCGCGGAGGGCGGCACCGGTCACCGCAGTGCAGCTTTAACGCGTCCTCTCTTCCTGCTCCTCGTCTAGTTGTTCTCCTTCCATTCTTCTGCTTAGTCTTGCTCACATTCTCTCGTTACTTGCTTCATTATTTCGCTATGAGCTTTACTCCGCGCTCTACCCGTCTGAGGAGGATAGGTTACTTTACCATGATGCTAACGATAATAAATGCACATTATTTTCCTTGTTAAAGTGTCTACTTAGTGGTGTCGTAGTCGAACTAAACTGTACGCGTTCTTACCAGATGCTGGCAGGTGGTTCCTTGTGGCCTTGCTCTTGCAAGACTATTTAAAATATTTTGTTACTCATCTATTTTTTGAATGGCTATTGCTGCGTTAAAACTTGCAAGCTTTTTATATATCATCATTGATATGGTGCGTCGAGGTTTTTATCATTCTGTGGTCCTGCGATGTTATAATTATGAGGTCAGAGCTTTATGATATATGACGTTAGTACTTTTAACTTTTACAATAGTACATTTGTTTACAATTGCACATTTGCGTATGTATAATTGTACATGATGTCTTCATCTAGTATTTAAGAAGTTTACATTGCCCGATGTTTTAAACTGACGAGCGTCAATGTTGTTGAAGTGTAGTTGAATTTTTTTATGAATACAAATGAATATTTGTGGATGAATAATAAGATGTGTGTTGCTGGCAGATGGGTGTGCGAGGACATCCCGGAGCTCAAGATCGCTCTCGAAGTCAACGTGCTCGCAGACTACGACACCAGGAGGTCAGTCTCTGACTCATGTCTTAGCTATGATCTGTTCATATTATTTTTCATATTATTCACCTCATGTCACCTGAACATACTTCAGTAAAAGACAAAAACTATCACATAGACTTATATTGGTAGAAGACAATAGCTGTTTCACATAAAATTATATTTGTAGAAGTCAATAACTATATCACATTAATTTATTTTAGTTAACGTCCAATTAATGAGATATGTAAATGCAAGCAAGGCACAATAGGCAGGAAAGCTTCTAGCTCAATTGAACAGGTACCCGTATACTTAGTAACATTATGCCTAGCATCAGGCTTACTGGCTACCTACCTTGAAAAAGAGTTATCTTTTGTGTATCTGAATTACCTTTTATTTATTTTGGAATAGAATTTTTTTTGCAAAATAATTTTCTCGTTTTTCTGGCGATCATCTCAATTCGACCAAAAATCTCATATCAGTTCATCTAAAAAATGTGAATTGTGTGTTTGTTGAATTGTGATCGTATTCATTAAAAGAATAAAAAAATCAGTAAAGGTTGAATATATGAGCTGCAATTTGGTTTAAGATATTAAATAAAATATTATAGACTTACTCTGAAGTTACATTATTTTCTTGGCGTAACTGAGTTTTGATGATTTATATACAAGGCTAAAGATAAATTTACTAAGCTATAGTTTTCAGACAACTCTAAATATACTATTCGTATGAAGTATATACTATTCGTATTATAATGTAGATCGTCTATATCAAGTTAACAATTGCTTTTTGTTGGCAGCTACGAGAGCATGAAGCAGCTGTGCGACAAGTACAACCGCGCCATTGACTCCATCATACAACTTGTAAGTACTGTGACTGTGCAGTGTTGTGCACGCTTCATGTAGCTGTGCACTGCTGTGCTCGTGTCATGTATGGCCATGCCACTGTAGCCTATATACATGTACGACCTTGTTAGTTAGGCCAACATTCATATGGCGCCTCTCATATCTCTGTGACGGTTGTCAGTGAAGCGGTGGCATGTGTGGCGGGGGCCTGTGTAACGCTTGCCTGTGTGGCGATGGCCTGTGCGGCAAGGGCTTGTGTGGCGATGGCCTTTGAGGCGATGGCCTGTGTGGCGCTGGCCTGTGTGGCGGAGGCCTGTGTGGCGATGGCTTGTGTGGCGGGGCCTTGTGTGGCGATGGCCTTTGAAGCTGTGGGCCATGTGGCGGTGGCCAGTAACATGGCTCGTTGCACGGGCGGGGGGGGGGTGGTTGTTTTGGCCACAAGCCGAAGCTATTTTTAGGCGCCGTGCCGTCCTCAGCCTCTCTGTGTAGCGCTTCAGTATTGAGCAGTAGGGTCTTCCTTCCCTCGCCTCCCTTCCCCTCGCTACTTCCCCTCATTTTCTTCCTCTGGGTCTCTCAGCCTCATCTCTCCTGAACATCTTAGTCTCCCTCACCATCTCTTCCTTTCTGCCTCTCATTCACTGCCTTGCCCTTACGCCCTCTCCCTTACTCTCTCCCTCTCACACACTCTCTCTACCTCACTGCCTCTCTCCCTCACTGCCTCTCTCCCTCACTGCCTCTCTCCCTCACTGCCTCTCTCCCTCACTGCCTCTCCCCCTCACTGCCTCTCCCCCTCACTGCCTCTCTCCCTCACTGCCTCTCTCCCTCACTGCCTCTCTCCCTCACTGCCTCTCTCCCTCACTGCCTCTCTCCCTCACTGCCTCTCTCCCTCACTGCCTCTCTCCCTCACTGCCCCCCTCTCGCCCCTGTGCTGGCTGGTGCCCGCTGTTATCCCAGCACTTCTCTTATAAGCGCGGGCAAAACAATTTAGGTTTAATTAAATTGTATAAAAGCTCCTTTACCGCTTGTGGCGGTAAAGGAGCTTTTCAATTTAATTTTGTGTTTACTGACGGTGGCTTGCGGACGTAGGCTCTGCAATCTACGAGTCTGATGCTTTCCTAAAGTCACTCCACCTATGGGAATAAAAACGTGAACTGTATGTTATCCGACAAAGTAAAATTAACACAAGCACAATTAATTAGCACAAACAAAGTTATCAAATCAATATCAAGTTATTAGTAAGAAACCTGTATCAATGCATTAATTTAGAGCTTAAATATCCAATTCGTAAATTTCATTGTTTTGATTCATTTATTATACTTCTATTTTAGACTTTTGAACTGATTATGGCGCTGACGATACAACATGGAGAAATACGGAAGGCTATTGCCCAAGAATAGCTGCACTTTTTTCTTCCTAGCATTTTATTGAGTCATCCTGACCCAGTTTGGGCATGGAAGGGCGCATATGTAGCACTGCCACGTCCGCTATTTGCCCGTGCTGTGGGTACAAAAAAGTGCGTGTTTTTTTTTCATGATAACTTACTCATTTCGGTAGGTATGATGATATGCGGTGATGTTTATTTCATTTTTAATTTACAGTTGATAAGTGATTCAGGCAATTGAAAAATCTTAACACATAAAATATTATGAATATAAGACAGCGCTCGTGGTTGCCGCGTGTTGATGTGTGGACGCGTGTGTTGTGTTGCGTGTTGTGTGCGAGGGTCAAGCCTTCGGGTCTCGGCGCCTTCACTGTTACCGAGTGTCTCTGTGACCTCCTCGTTACCGAGTGTCTCTGTGACCTCCTCGTTACCGAGTGTCTCTGTGACCTCCTTGTTATCGAGTGTCTCTGTGACCTCCTCGTTACCGAGTGTCTCTGTGACCTCCTCGTTACCGAGTGTCTCGGCGACCTCCTCGTTACCGAGTGTCTCGGCGACCTCCTCGTTACCGAGGTCTCGGCGGCCCATTTCTCTGGTGTATGTGACAACGGTGACCTCATTCCCTTTCTTTCAAATTCTGTATCATTTTTCTCAAAATTAATATCTATTCTCTGCTTGACCTTGGAGTTAGCATCAAAACAGTCGCATGGTCGTTAGTGTAACAAGTCACATGGTAATTAACCTCAGCACCGGTTGCATAATCATTAGTATATACCGTCCGGTCTTTAGCATCAGCTCACACCACATGGTTGCTACTGTACCTGCAGTAGCAGCCATATGGTGTGTAGCAACCATCATAAGTATATCGTACGGTCTATAAGTATTAAAATCACTTGATTGCTTAAATCGCTAGTTTATCGATAATTTAAAAATTAAAACCAAGGATCATAGCCAGAAAATTCACCATGTCTTATTAAGGAAAACGTTTCGGGGTCCAGCTCTATCGTCAGTTCAAAACCAAAAACTCGGGTACAAACAATGAGCAAATAAATTCACATTGACTATTTATGCTTTCATTTGACGATTCATGCTTTAATGTGAATTTATTTTCAATTTTTTTGTGCCTTTATTTCAGGTTTTGAACCGACGATGGAGCTGGACTCCGAAACGTTTTTCTTTGTACGAAATTGTGAATTTTCTGGCTATTTTCTTTGCTTTTAAATACATGATCGTCCGGTCTTTAGTATCAGTTCATACCACATGGATGCTACAGTAGGTACCCAGGATGACTCACTCCATAGGTTATGACACATGGTTGCTTTATAAGATATTTTTAATTTTCATTGCTATTTTCTTTGCTTTTAAATTCATGATCGTCTGGTCTTTAGTATCAGCTCACACCACATGGTTGCTACTGTAGGTACCCAGGATGACTCACTCCAGAGTCATCCTGGACATGCACCTACCATGACACATGGTAGGTGCTGGTCTGGGGTGCGGGCACCTTTTTGCTGTTAGCGCCACTCTTGCTGCTCACCGCTACTGCCCCTTTAGGCTGGCATAGTCACATCTACTTCTATCCTTGTTGCTCCTCTGCCTTTTATCATCACCGCATTAATTGTTGTTTGTGAAGGCTTTCTGCTTTCCATGTTATTTTTCTCTGCTTTTATCATCACCGCATTAATTGTTGTTTGTGAAGGCCTCCTGCTTTCCATGTTATTTTTCTCTGCTTTTATCATCACCGCATCAATTGCTGTTTGTGAAGGCTCTCTGCTTTTCATGTTGTTGTTCTATGCGCAGCTACTCTCCTGTGCTTCCATCTGGGGAGTCATCGTTATAAGTTAAGAAAGTAGCTCGCGTCTTGCTTTTAAAGCTCTACGCTGATCTCACCTCGCAGTGACACGTAACCGTGATGTCTTCATTACAGCAGCAAGGACGCACTTGATTGAACGAGTAAATAGCTTGACGTTTGTTATTGTGCTCGCACGCACATGTTAAGGAAGCGTTCAGGGCTACACGTTCACGAGGGTAGATGATAGGGTGAGGGGCGGCAACCCTGGCACGGTATTGATCTTGTACTGCCCTTCCCTCGCGTCTCTTCCCCTCACCGTTCCTTCCCCCAGCCCTCTTTAAAGCTACCAATATAGAAGAGAAGCGAGACCCATCATCCGTGCATGTGACACTGCCCCCGCCATACCCAACACCTAGGCACCCCCTACCGCTGGTATGTCACTTGCGGTCCACATTTACGCCTCCTCCCCTCCTCTGCCAGCAGTTCCCTGTAACCTATCTGTTAGCCTCTTGCAACCTGATATTGGCATTGCTGCACTCACGTGTGGTTCAGCCTTTTGATTGAGGAACATCTTTGATATCGGTCGAACAATATTGAACTATTCATAACAACAGCATCTGTATGGTTGGCAGAGTAGCAAGAGCTACTGTGGCAGCAGAATCATACAGAATTTGCTCATCAAGAGGTTCCTGGAATGTTAATCTTCATCAATGTACTTGGTATTGAAGTATGTACCTATGCAAATGACGTTGTCATCAAAACCGGTCATGCGAAGTTATTACTTCAAATTCTTACGTAGGATACTTGTCTTAGGCATTTGCTTGAAATACTCATCTCAACTACCAAACTCGAATAAACCCGAATTATTTTCTGATCTTGTCACCCTCGAATTGTGTTCTGATCCATACTCGAGTGTAACATTTGTCCAACCTAATTAGGCAACGTAACATTTGTCCAACCTAATTAGGCAACGTAACATTTGTCCAGCCTAATTAGGCAACGTAACATTTGTCCAGCCTAATTAGGCAACGTAACATTTGTCCAGCCTAATTAGGCAAGTTAGGCGCGTAAGAATGAGTGAGGTTTGCGTGCTGGCAGGTCATGCGTGCAGCGCCAGCTGTGCCGTGCGTGGGTGCAGCGTGAGGCTGAGCTCTGCTTGCCTAGCACAGCCTTCCACTTCTTGTTCAAAAAACACTAACGAGCGAGTAAAGAGCTCAATTATTAATAATGAGTCTTGAATCCAAATCGTTATGCATGAGCGTAGACTCATGTTTAAACTGATTTAATTCCGACTTATGTGGTATTAAAGGGCAGTGCCTGCATCGCCGTGAATTGCGTACAGTGCAATGGTGAATAATTCTTTCGTTGTATTCATACGCAGAACTACTAATGCTTGGTTTACCTGGGGTCTTTCTATACACCTGGCCTGTGAGCGAGATCATTGAACCATGCATGTAAAAACAGCTCATAGTAATGTCGATAAAACATTACATATGTCTAGCTTCGCCCGTAAATTGCTCACATCGGATGAGTAATATAATTATTATAAGTACACATTATTATAAGTAATAATGGCCAAGATATGACAACTTTTAGAGTGAGGTGACCGCAGCAACTTCAACAACTTTTGAACAATTCTAAGAATATTCTTAAAGTACCGTAGTACTTAGTTACTGTAGTGTATGTAGGGGCTCGAAGTAAAGCGTTATCTTAGTAACTTGTTGACTATTGAGCCAGTCCCTGGTGTGTAGGCATGTGTTGTGTCTGCCTCACTACCGCCTACACAGAACGGTCAAGCCCCGTCTACCTTCCTGGCTGATGGCGCACTATAATAAGCCCAGGACATGAACTTGTGGCCTTATGGCTACTCTGTGGCAAAATTAAATTCCCATGAATGGCTTCACGAGGTACACTGTCAATGCAGTGCTCATTCATTTATGCTCGCGCATGTACACTATACACATTCATGCAAGTTTTTCGTTTCTGTTTCATGGTCATTACAAATGTTACATCCGTGCTATAAATATTATTTGTTTCAAAATAAAGTGCGTGTCGTGTAATAGACGAGATGGTATTTTTTTCTGATTACAGCATTTTAGCGGAGGGAATTGAACTTGTATAAAAAATCGTTACAAACATTACTTTCCCCCATGGTTTTGGCTCCACTTTCCTCTTAAGTAGAATTTTATGCCTGGCCGTCTAGACATAAAGAAAAAGGAAGTTGAAAATGTGTTTCTTCTCTTATTTATTCAGAAAACATATCTCTGAAAAATGTTTAGAAAATATATCTCTGCATTGAACTCTTCTCACTAGGGACCTGCCACTAATTTGTTATAAGTCATCGGTTGAGTGATTGTAAAATCGAGTTAATGTCTGTTTGAATGAATTATTTTTAATGCAGCTGAGTAGCTGAAAGTACTTGAAGGCGTTGGGTGTGAGCACTGCTTACCACCTGCATACACTCGCTACCGACAAGCACAAGTGTCAGAGGAAATCAGCACAAATGCTCACTGATGCAATAATTAGGGGCTAGGAGCCATCACTCAAGCTGAGAGTCAAATTCCTGGGAATCAAATTTATAAGTGTGAAGCATCTACCGTTTATTTTTCTTATTGTTGACATGATGATTAGTATATGTTCGAATCAAGTTTGTAATTTACATCAAATTATAAATTATTAACTGCGGAATAAGTTAATTTTTTATGATTTAATTACCTACATGCGTTGCGGCCTCAAGTTTGGTTCCACGGACGATTAGTTCAGAGCACGATTTCGGTAATGTTCACTAACTTTTTTGAAGACTCAACTATTTTTGCAGTAATTTTCATGTAGCAAATGCAATTTTGCTTTCTACACTTCAAATTCAATGCCCGCTTTCCTTGCCCAGTTAAAGACTGAACTCTTTCTGATTGTCGCATCATTTCACTTCCAGCGTTTTACCTTCCATTTATTTTTACCTGTTCCAAAATAGATTTTGACTGGAAATATAAGACTGACCCAAGTAAATTGAATTGATATTTGATGCCATCAATATGGTAGAAAGCGTGGCTCTGAAGGCAACAGTAATTGGCTGGCTTGCCTGTCGTGAGCGTCTCATTGGTCCTGTGGGACGTCACCCTCCTGCACGTACAAATGTCAGCCAGCCTCTTGGTTCAGGAAATGTGTTCCGGATCAGTTAGTGAGGTTTCTATCCACTCTATCTCAAATGTTGAAAAAAGCCCTATATTTTACCATATTGAATGTTAAATGCTGCTATCACAAACATATTTTCGTAGTGTGAATTATTTTTCTACCTATTAAATAGCATATAAATATTGCGGACAGCTTTGCTTATGGCAAATTTCTAGAAGTTTATTGAAGTGTAACATAAGTGCACATTAAAGTAAGCCCTCGCAAGGCAGGGCCGTTGCAGGAGTTCATCGGCCGCGTCGTGAGCGCGCGTCACTGAGAACGCTTCCAGGCTCGGGCCTTTATTAAAGCCGACCTGCGCACGCTCGTGAGGCCATGCAGGCTATATAGTGTGTGGCGTGATGCAGGCTATATAGTGTGTGGCGTGATGCAGGCTATATAGTGTGTGGCGTGATGCAGGCTATATAGTGTGTGGCGTGATGCAAGCGTCTTGTACGGCGTGATGCAGGCGACTTGTGTGGCGTGATGCAGGTGACTTGTACGGCGTGATGCGGGCGACTTGTGTATCGTAATGCAGGCGACTTGTGTATCGTGATGCAGGCAAATTGTGTATCGTGATGCAAGCGTCTTGTGTGGCATGAAGCACTGTTGTCTTCCTGCTCATGCAGAAATTCTGCCGTACTATTCATGCAGCAGTGCGGTCTTGCTACTTCTGCTTCTCTGCTGGCTCGCTGTTGACGAGAATAGTCCTTGTTGCATCGGCTGCTTTCAAGCTGCCGTCTCGATTCACAATCTACGTCGCTATGTTGTTGATACTTTCACCAGCGTAGCAACAAGACTCCATGGATGAATTGCATCCGACATGCAAGTACTGCTGAGCTGCCCGAGTGCTGAATGCTCCCTTGTGTTGTCTTCTACTTTGATGTTTTTTACACGCGTTCAGTGGAAGCTTCTGAGCGCATTCCCTACTTTGTGAGCCTTTGCGTCCATTATTTTTATTCAGTTTTCGGAGGGTAAAAGGAAGTGATCCTGCCACACCCTGTTTTTAGTGACCTGTTATTTGTTTATTTTATTTTTTATTTAATTTTGCAGGGCGTAAAGTTCTATAGGAAACCAAACCTTTTATCTATTTCTTCTGTTCCGGCATAATACGTAGTCGGCTAAATGCAAGATCTACTGTGGCTGTCTAAAACACAAGCTCATTACGTGGCTCGTGTTCATTATTCATTCTGTGACTAAACGAGTCTTCTTGTATCTATTGAGCTAAGATGTTGTGTCTACACTACCAAAGTCACTAGGTCTTACATTAATCTGTTTATGTTTAACTCTCCGTTTAGACTCAAGTGGGCCTGAATGCATATACCACACACCACCTTATTCTTGTCTAAGTAATTTATTTGTTCGCAGGAGAAGGGAACGAGTCTGCCTGCAGTTCGCCTCAACAAGCGACCGAGCAGAGGGATGTTGAAGCACATCCTAACGCAGATCTACAACCAGGCCGTCGAAGACCCGGAGAAGCTCAACCAATATGAACCTTTCTCTCCCGAGGTCAGGCTTCGTGTTACAGAAAATTTACTAACCATTTCAAATATTCTCGTGGTCTCCGACCTGTTTTTTAGGCATGGAGCTTATCGTTTGGTTTATGAATTGATTTTTTTGTTCCATGAGCCGTGTGCGCTCTGAAGAAACAACAGACTAAATAATGGCTGCCTGTTGGAAATTCAGTTCTTGTACATCTATGTCCTAAATTTACGTTGACCGAGGGATGGAAGTAGGATCTTGCTGAACTGAAACTGAAAGCAGGCGCCGCTGTTTAGATCGTACCGTACACAAATTCGGTTCGGTTACTCGCTCTGTGAATCTGATGCCGTCCAAGTGGGTCCATTTAATTTCATAGGTAACCGTTTATCACTGAACAGACAGAATATTCCTCGCGTCATGTTTTAGTGTTTTATCGTGAAATTATTCCTTTTAATCTCCCTATCATCACAAGATGACAGCAAAAATCAACTTCGTTCATGCAAATACAAATACAACTGAGAGTTATTCACTATATAACTCTTAGTGTAGCGTTCATTAGTTTAAAATAGCTCTCGACTTGGTTCCGTGCCCAATAATTCTCGTGCTGTATGCTGAATAAGCATTAATGTATGTTGTGTATAATGAGGTTGGTCGTCCAGTAGCTGATAGAACTTGAAGAAACAACTAGGTACGTATTGCTGATAGGAGTAGGACGATTTTAAAAGGCGTTGGAGCTTACTGTTGCTTTGAGAAAGTGGGGCATTTTTTAAATGTCCAAATAATCATTGTAAAAATTGCTGGGTATTTATGTTCAGCTTACCAATATCGAAAGTAATTAACCTTTTAACTGCTAGCTCTACGCTGGAGGGTAGAATTTATTTAGATTATCCGGCAGATTGTCAGAAGTCGTTTCCGTCGACCGGAGCAACGAACGTCTCGTATATAAACAGTCGTCAAAAAATTTACAGGGATAAATTTTTCGACAAATTCAATGAGAATAACATTCAATCTCTAAATTCATTTCTATGGACTTTAAAATTAGTACTTAGTTGAGAATGTATATAATCTGGAGTTGTATTTCCTGTGCGAAAAAGATTAGAAGTTGCAATGAAATAGGGTTGTTCCTGTCGTGACACCAGAATTACGTATCGTCGAAACGCTTGAAAGAATTTTATTCTATTGACGGGAGATTTGTTAGCATTTATCGATGCTGGATTTTTTTATCGCAATCTTCATACTTGAAGGTAGAACTCTTCTTCGTTTTTTCGGGGTTCGAAATTCTGAATTTTGATTTTTTGAGTAGAGAGACTTGTCTGTTTAAGATGAGCCTGTGTTTCAATAAGCGTTCATTGTGCAGGTTTACGGGGAGACTTCATACGAGCTCATCTGCCAAGTGATCGACCAGATCCACATCACAGAAGAGGACACCTTCATAGACCTGGGCTCGGGCGTGGGGCAAGTCGTACTGCAGATGGCGGCCGCGACGCTCTGTAAGCGCTGCTACGGCATCGAGAAGGCTGACACTCCTTATAGGTCAGTTAATGCTCCTACATGGTTATGTGGCTGCCTTCTTACAGGTCTGTGGCTGACTCTTTACAGGTCAGTTGGAGCCTCCTCTCAGGTCTTTGGCTGCCTTCTCACTGGTTTGTTGATGATTTCTCTCTCAGGTCCATTGGTTCCTACTCACAGATAATTTTTGCCTACTCACTGATCAGTGCCTGACCTCTTATTATCAAAATCTCTTGCAGTGATATACTCCTTGCACCTAGACAGCAGGTTGCAACAAAAATTTGTCTTCAAAGAAAATAAACTGTGCAATTATTTTTAGTGTGCTATAATGAGAGCTGACGGGAATTAATAAATTTTTAGATTAACCCATGTACTCACACTCCAGTATTGAGTCATATTTGTTCTCGAGTTTGCCATATTTGCAAGGCTGTTTCAGTTCCTTATGTTACGCACGCAGATACTCGGAGACGATGGTGAAGCTGTACAAGCGATGGCTCGCCTGGTACGGCAAGAAGCACGGCGAGTACAAACTTGTACAGGTCAGTGGTAGCTTCTTGTAGTACAAACTTGTACAGGTCAGTGGTAGCTTCTTGTATTACCCCGTATTACAAACTTGTACAGGTCAGTGATAGCTTCTTGTAGTACAAACTTGTACAGGTCAGTGGTAGCTTCTTGTAGTACAAACTTGTACAGGTCAGTGGTAGCTTCTTGTAGTACCCCGTATTACAAACTTGTGCAGGTCAGTGGTAACTTCTTGTAGCGCTAACGAGCTTACGAGCTCTCGTACTGAACAACTTATATGGGTACCCTCTTACAGCGTTAACTCCTGCCGCTTTCATCCGTAGTACAATTATTTTATTTGAGTTAGAATGTTACCTACGCAACTCATGAGCTTAGGTCGAAGTTCTTTTTGGAAGAATTGACTTATCGTTTGCTCATATATCAAGAGTTGTTTTGTTATTTGAGTGTTTCAGTCACTCTCAGGGAGAGCATAAAATAAAAATAGCAAGAAAGACCCAACAGAGTATTACTTAGAATGGAATACATTTCTTCATTATCCGTGTTTTCATTATTATACACTATACCTCGATTACAAGTAGGTCTATCATGACACCAACCGATGCCATTTTCTTTACATATTCTGTTATTCTCTGAAGTAATTTTTTGGATGAAATGTTTGAGCGCCTTTTGACTGGAGAAGGGTTCGTTGCCTAAGTTCGTGAGCGATAAGTAAGACACCATCAGTCTAAAGAAGTTATCTTTATACATGGTAGTTATATATGAGAGTAATAATACAGGTATTGGCTAAACGTCGACCGTTAGATCGGAGTAGCTCTAACGCGAGTTACATCGCGACACGCTTATTGCAGCTTCTGGGGGGGGACGAGTTTAATCAAGTTCCCAGCCCTTTTATAGAATTACGGATTCCGTCCATTTACTACTGTCCTGATCGCGTGATTTGCCACGTGATGTTTTCCAGACTCAGGTCTAGTACTTTTCCGCTAACTTCTATCACGTCAAGTGAATATTACCTCTCAATTACAGACAATCTAATCTTATAGTATAATTTTTATGACTATAATGAGACGCCAGATTGACACCGGACATCTTAGATCTAGGCCAAATTCTATGGAACGTTGATGCTGCAATTTAAATTGCTCTCTATGCCAGTATGTTTAGTGTCCTACTGAGAATTATCAGCACATTTAGTACGTTCTTTTGATTTACTAAAATTTAGATGGCTTACACCTTCACTGAGACTGATTTTGTCATCAGGGAGACTTCCTACAAAAGCAGCACCGGGAGTGGATAACGTCCAGCACCATCGTCTTCGTGAATAACTTTGCGTTTGGCCCCACCGTGGACCACATGCTCAAGGAGGTCTTTGCTGATCTCAAAGACGGCGCCAGAATCATCTCTTCTAAAAGCTTCTGTCCCACTAACTTCCGTATTACTGACCGTAATCTAAGTGGTAAGTGGTGGCAATGACCGTAACCTGAGTGGTGAGTGGTGGCAATGACCGTAACCTAAGTGGTGAGTGATAGCAATGACCGTAACCTAAGTGGTGAGTGGTGGCAATGACCGTAACCCAAGTGGTGAGTGGTGGCAGGGACCGTAACCTAAGTGGTGAGTGGTGGCAATGACCGTAACCTGAGTGGTGAGTGATGGCAATGACCGTAACCTAAGTGGTGAGTGATGGCAATGACCGTAACCTAAGTGGTGAGTGATGGCAATGACCGTAACCCAAGTGGTGAGTGGTGGCAGGGACCGTAACCTAAGTGGTGAGTGATGGCAATGACCGTACCTAACCTAAGAGGTGAGTGGTGGCAATGACTGTAACCTAAGTGGTGACTGGTGGCAATGACCGTAACATATGTTAATGGTGAGTGATAGCAATAACCGTAACCTTAGTGGTGAGTGATAGCAATGACCGTAACCTAAGTGGTGAGTGATAGCAATGACCGTAACCAAAGTGGTGGCAATGACCGTAATCTGAGTGGCAAGGGAAGATGAAACTGTTGCCATATCCCGATGGAGCTTCAGAGGATCCATGGTAATGCTAGAAAAATTCACGTTTGAAGTTAACAATGAATGACTACTTGTGTTGACCTGCCTTAAAACGGTTGTTCTACTACAATAAAGTGAACATCTTGGTATTATTGAACCTGCTTTGTAATTATGCTTTCTTGTGAAATTTATGTGATTAATCAACAGTCTGAGCTGACTCTACTGACGTCAACTTGCGTCTCGACATTCATACGTGTGATTCATGCGCTGACAAACATAATCTTAATTCTCCGACTAACTCTGAGGACGTGCGTGCAGATATTGGTACAATCATGCACGTGTCGGAGCTTACGCCGCTTTCGGGGAGCGTGTCGTGGACGGGCAAGCCAGTCTCCTACTACCTGCACATCATCGACCGCACCAAGGTGAGTATGTGCACCACTCAGGTCTGTGAATACTACCATCATACCTCTGTGTGTGCGTGGCAGTGTGCTCAACACCACACACTTGAAACTTGCACTCGGGTTAATGGTAGAGGCGAAGGAGGTCACGGGTGATGTACTGGTATTGTGGTTTGATGGTAGTGCAGGTCACGGGTGATGTACTGGGTGGTGTATGGTAGTGCAGGTCACGGGTGATGAACTGGGTGGTGTATGGTAGTGCAGGTCACGGGTGATGTACTGGGTGTTGTGGTTTGATGGTAGTGCAGGTCACGGGTGATGTACTGGGTGTTGTGGTTTGAGATGACAGGATGATATGCTTTGGATCGTGGTTAATTTATCTCCTTAACTGAGGAAGTTTTTATAGATATTGCGTTGTTGTCAAGCAAATACGGGTACATAGTATGCGGGGTAGTTACTACGGTCCAAGTGTAGGGTGGTGACAGCAGTTATAGTTATCAGCTTTCTGCTTTACTCATCTGTACTCATGTCAGGTTTGGTTATGAATTACGTGCGATCTCGTCAGTGTGTTCAGTGTCATTTTTGGTTGTATTAGTCGCTTGTGCTTGTCAGCTATTGATGCTCGGCGAGAACTTGTAGGTGTAGGTATACAGACAGTATTACTGTACACAGATAGTTGTACTACTGTCGAGTTAGAGGAGTCGCGTATGTGCGTTAAGGAGTATGAAGGCCTCACACCAGCTGAGTTTAACTATTTCAGTGGTAATAGTAGACACCAGGCCATTAGGGGCTCTTACTAGGTATCCAACGCCTAAAATCTAACTAATTTCTCTTGTACGTAGATTATGGAATTTTTACCTGAACCTGTTATTAGTATCAGTGATAATCTTTACCCAGCATTAATTAATCATATTTCTACTTCTAACGAAAAATTTGATTTTTGAAAATCTGAAATTTTGTCTGGTATCAGGATAAAATGTATAGCAATGAGCCCGGAGTGTAATTGCTGGACGTGTTGTCACGTTGCTCATTCAGTCCGATAACTGATCTTTTCTTGAATGTGTATAGTTCTCAAAACCAGTGCGGCCATTGACTTGTATGCTTTCGTTTCATTCCCTTGAGTTTAGGAGTTAGGTGCATTTATAATCTCCTCTCACGAGATTTTCAGAACTCACATTTGTGAGGCAAGACAAGAATAAGTCGTGTTGTCATCATGCCATGCAGCAGCGCCTCTCACCCTTACGTCGCCCCCATCCTCACGCGTCATTGTCACTAAAGACTTTAATCTGACCCGACCAAATAAACAATTTCTGTATAACATCCTCTATAAAGTGCAGTAGAGGCTTAATTTCTCTTGCAACTTCATCGAACAGCGTGGTTAGTTATCTCTCATTGAAGTATATGATAATTTCCTAATCAAGTTACCGTTGCTACCAACGCTATCACACTTGCATCATCTCACTTCTTTACATCTCAGTGTCAGAGATGATCATAACTTGTTGAATTGTCATCCCAGTTTGAGTCTATTGTGTTGTCTTTCATTGTAATGATACCTTTACCCTAAAATTTGTCACCAAACACGTGTTGCTGCAGTGCCAGTTTACCGTGTGTATTCACTGGCCCCTACGCCGACCATCTCTCAATACAGGTCTGTATCATATTTAACGCTCATGTAACGAGTGTACCGGTGCGCTCTGAACCAAACTGATTCAGTTCTATGCTGTTTGCCCCAAGACGATACATGTTGCAGTGTTGACGTACTCTTAACACTCGCTTTTTCAGAAATTATATGCGACATTTTAGGTGACTACGATATTTTTTTCAATTCAAACAAGAACAAACCTTGAGACACCCTCACGAACATCCAATGTAAGAGAAAAGTTCCGTTGGCTTCCAGCCACAAAACAGCGGCTTGGTGGCTTTTATGTTGTGCTCACAAGCGGCGGACGCTACTATCGACGAGCATTGTGTTCTCTTCATATGCATCTGATTATATCAGATGCAGACTTAATTTTTACTCTCTTTAGAACAACCGAAGTCCCGACCAAGGCTTCATCCTTATTGTCGAAACGCAAGATGTCTTATTCGTACGATTTGATTTGCTGAAGTTTCAATCAACTGACGAGTGTCAGCATTCGTGCTTCTTATTCGACCGCTGAACACTATTCTCATGTAGAAAATCATGCTCACAATGAGTAGGAATATAATTGTGGAGGCTTACGTGGATCAGAAGCTCTGAAGTTATAGGGAGGACGTCAGGGTAGAGGCTGCTGGGGCGTGCATGATGGCGGCACGATGGTTATTGCTCCTCATCTGGTCATCACTGCAAACATCATATGCAAGTGTCTCATAACTTCGAGCCCTCAATGATTTATTGTAGGTAATTTAATCTATTCTAAATTTCATTTGATTTGAAACAAAATTCTTGTCGTATATTTATTTTCAATTGGATTTTAAATAATTGGATTCTCCACTCTCCTTATTTCAGTTGGAGCGCTATTTCTTAAGAGTAAAGAATCCCAAGCTGAGGGTAAGTCGACTGCTGCTGATAGATGCTAAGTTAGGCACTTAAAAAGAGGGAGACTTCAGTCTCGTAGGGAGGCTTCTCCCCCTACGAGGGTGAAGTCTTGCGCCTCCTAACTTAGGTTGCCATCTCTTCTGTGCACAACCGCTTGTTGCTTGCCCCCCCTGCTGGTCTTTATTCCCAGACGGCTAACAATCACACCTCATATTAACGATGGATCCAATAATTTTTATCAGAGTTTCGACAATTTTACACATTTCTCTACCGTTCATTTGAGATCAAAAAACCAAAAATATTACGTAAACATGGTTTAATTTTTAATTACTGAGACTTTTTTAATTTTTGAGAGTGTGGCAGTTGTGTCAGGAGGGCTCTGGCGCTGATTCCGTTCCCTATCTTGTCTCCTAATATTTATTAAGTGGAGTGTAAAGGCAGCGATTAGTGTAAGCGTGTGCTCTGCTCTTATAACCTTAACAACAATACAATAAAATGGTTGAGGGCTGGAAGATTGGCTACCATTGTCATGGTTGACACTCCACCTCTTCGCAACCGACATTCATTGCTAAGTTTCATCCATTTCTTGGTAACAGTTTGATAAGTTATTCGCTCAACCCTGTGTGCTTCGTGATTGACGATATTCACCAAAACGCTTTCCAAAGATAAAATGTTAGTTCATTGTGCAATATCTTTAGATTGATTACTTGTGTTCAGCAAATATTTTCTGCTTCTTGAACATATTTTGTGTGCTTTTTTAATTGGATTTTTATTCATGTATATTGTATTGAATGTTGATTGTGTGAATACCGAAGTGTATATTTAACGACTAATTTAGCCCATGGTATATGAGCCGAGTGCGATTAGCCTGATGTTATAAGGTCTTGAGCGCGGTTCATTGCTGATAATGGTTAGGGTCTTTAGCATCTACTTATCCAAAGACTAGACCCGGCCTGGCGAATACTACTTTATTGCGTAGTTATTTGTTGTGAAGTAACTTGCTGGAGTGGTGCGTACGACTGGTCCAAAAATCAAACTCGATACAACTTGCAAGATTCTTCAATGTTATAAGAAGATCAAATTTGATGAGCGGTAGAGACGTTCACCGTTAACAGGTTTAAATTTTTACATAATAAAATACAGTGTCGTGTTAATACTTGATCTGAATCATTCCCTCTCATTGTTTTCAGTCATGAATCATTCATTATGCTTACTCGTCTGCTCTCATATGGTTACCCATCAACAATGGACAGTTGTTGTTCAACCTGCATTCTTTGTGGTCATTCATACGCATCAAATCCTCTCATTTGTTGTAGGAATAATGTCATTATTTTCGGCTCATTGCGTCGCATATTTAACTTATATTATTATCAGTAACAGATTTCATATGACAGTTTCTTCTTTCTTGAGCATCATGATGTCAGAGTAGCTTTGTTCTGATATGTGAAATGTTATTCACATCATCCTTCCTAGTGAATCATGTTTGATTCTATTTATATGTAGTTAACTGCTTCATTTCTTCATATCATTTTTTATCTTTGTAATCTCATTTAAGAGATTATGTGCTTCTTGAGGCCGAGTGCACGCAGCTTCTAACGCAAAATTCATTTTCACGAGTCTGTGATATGAACCTGATGTCATTGATGTCATTCATTGTATGCATTCATTAGTGATGTAATTAGTCCCACTACACGGACCAAAATTGGTCTGCATTAAGAGCTTTGTTTTAAGATAGCGTCCATTGCTGTCGAGCTGTGCTCTCGTGCCTTCAATGAGCCACGTAGCCTAGGTTCGTAAGTTCATAGCTAAGGAGACATTCATTCATTCATGTGCATCATTGGATGTTTCCCATACCTCTGCAGAGCTCATCTAAGCTCACAGACGAGAAGCAAGCTCCTGTGGTAAGTCTTGCCGTGCGTCTTTCACTCATTATTTGTTCACTTAATCCATGTGAGTTTGGGAGTGATGCGGTGACTAAACTGATTAGTACACAAACTCTCATCGCATGAGAGGACGATAGCCGCTTCCTTCTGGTGCTCTGAGAGACTGACTTCAGCGTGTGTGTGTGTGTGTGTGTTTGTGTAGAGAGAGCACCTTCTTGTGTAGAGGTGGTCTGTTATGTGTAGTAAACGACTCGAGACGAAATAGACTGCTAATCAAACTATACACGAGTATGCAGTGTTGTCAGTAGTGTTCACTCGCTCTTAGTTTGCTGTCTAACCTAATCATGTCGATGGTATACCTGTAGTCTGAATACTTTTACCACTCTCTGTACAGCAACTTGCACATTGCTAGCATAGCAGACATATGATGTGCCGTGCCATCACATGAGCATTAGGACAGTCGGTGCTCCAAGCTCATGTGAGCATCATGCTCATGTGACGAGCATGATGCTCACATGTGGGAGCACCTGATGCTCATGAGAGCATCAGGGCAGTCTGCACCTCCAAGTCCCTTCTGGGCTGCGAGCTGTAGAGTCAGATTTTAAACAGTACTTCTTTCATTGTATTGTAGATGCTTGAGTCCAGAATTATTGACTTTTTCAACGTATAAATTTCTTAACATTATAGCTAACTGAAGATGAATAAATGACTTTCTGTAAAACATCTAATATATCCACAATAATTTCCGTCCAGTTGTTGATGAAAATCTGAAAGATACGATGATATTTCTTTTATTCTGAAACACTGTCAGCACTGTAGCTTTCGATTTTTTCGCATCGTCGATCAATTTCAAACGATATGTCAAAAATTATCGCATACCAAACTCTTATCTGTTAATTAAACTAAATGTATTTATCGACGTCTCAACCTTTGCGACAAACATTAACTGCCGCCTTCAGCATTGTCTTCATTTATGTGCCGATTTCTGGAGTGGATGTGATGCCTGCTTTTGCCTGAATTTCAACTCTCTTTCACCATAACTCCCTCAGTCGTGTCATTCTCATTATTGCCTACTAACGTTTTATTAGTTCAGTTCGATTTTCAGTTGATCAACTCACAATAATGCCTCCTGTGACTACCTACCAGTACGCTGCTAGCTCGTCAAACTCGATCTCAAACTTGTCAATTCTGCTGCTGGCCACAGTTTTAGTTACTTAGGATCAATGCGCCTCACGTCATTCACTATCAAGCATAAATCTAACCATTTCCTCAAATTTCATGCTGACGAGCGCTTCATCTGTGTTTTGGGTTTTCGTGCAATAGTTCACATTGAACAATTCAATGTTCAATGGTATGTTGATTCACTGGCGTATTTCTGCTCAAATTCGTAATTTTGCTCAAAACTCAGCCACATTTTTCTTGACTCGCGTACCTTAAACATTACCACTCGTTGGAGCAGCCTTCGTTTGTGTTTGCTCGATGTCGTTCACTGTCCTCATTAACGTAACATCTGTTATGGTTTAAATCTGCACAATGAAAATGCCAAGTATGCACTCTCGAGTTTCCAATTACCAACGCACTCTATATATGCCCGTCTTCAAAATATGGGGTATGCACTGGCTTATCCCGTCGCGATGATTGACAATATGTATTCACTATCCTTAGTTGAGGCTAACTTCATTACAAACTTGCTATCTCATGGTATATTTGTTAGAAATCCATTGGTTAGTTGCGTACCGCGCCGCATACCAATATTTTGCGAGACTAAGAGAAGAGTGTTGTGTCGAACCCTGTTATAGCGTAGCGGTGAGATCAAGCAGCGCTCACTGAAGTTGCTTTATGTAGTACAGATTCAGTTCTGTTGCCTTCTTTGACCTCTATTAGTTAGTTGTATTCATGACTATTCACACTTGTGTGACTGTTTTAATATTAATTCACTTTAAAGTTCAGACTTTTGTGTGGATTTCTAATTTTAGCAACACGTAACTTTTCTTTGATCTAACTCATTATCTCTACTTAGAGAGAGTATATATGCTCTTAACATTATTTTGTTTTTTGACTTTTGTAAGACTGAGTTGAGGCTGACAATGTACGGGGTTATTATGCATGTATACATTACTAGATAAGAGAGAAACATAGTGTGGTGTTGCTGCTGCAGGCTGAAGAGAACGCAGCGGTAGCAATGCTGGCAATGAACAGTAACGCTGTGGGCGCGACAGTCGTGACTAACGGCACCACTAGAAGAGGGCGCAGCAGACATGCACCTAACCACACACGTAAAGCCTCGCCTCATAGCAGCGAAACAAGCTCCACCAACTCCTCCGTCGAGAACAGTACTGAGGTAAGTGTCCTGGACCTCGATGACTTGTTCCCTGTGCCGTGTTTGTCGATAGCAACGTTATCGAGGGACCGAGAAGATTGAGGGTAGACGACTCCTTTATATTTCCGCTCTATATCACTCTTATTCCTTCCTTGAGACCAATTCTTACCTTCGTGACTAAATTTGTTTCACTTTCTCAATGAGCTGAGCTTTCAACTGTTGATTCTATGTGTAAAAATTTCAAACTAGTTTCCACAGAACGTTTGGGATGATTTCTTGTATGAACTAAAACATTTATGCATATTGCTGTTATAAATTAAACGATATTAGTGTAACCTGTGTGTATTAAAATAAGTCTAAGGTAATTAAACCCAAACGATTTGTGTGAACGATAGTATAGGCATGCCTTTATGCTTTATGTGACAAGTTTGCCTTCAGTGTCATTGCTTCCCTTTTTGCCTCACATATACTTCTGCTGGGGTCAGCTGTTATTCGCGAAAATGTGTACCAAATTCGCGATATGTCCGTTACTGAGCTGCGACCATAAACTTGATACCCTTGCCTTCCATGTGTTGTCTGAGTGAACTACCGCGTGGTCATCTCAATCATTCGCCCGTACACAACCCGGTACACAGTCTTCCTTTTCTTAATACTCGGCCTTTCGGGCGACGGTCATTTTCTCGAGTGCTTGCATAATTTTTGCTTCTGATGTCTCGATTTCTCAACTTCCGGTCTCTCTATAATCGTTGATAGTGAATATCTATTTGACGGAACTCAAGGGTTTATTTCTAATGATAAAGCTTTTCTTTAACTCATACATGGAAATGTGATAATTATTTGAAATTGCATGCGGTATTGCCCTTCTTTAATGGACGAAGGTACGGCTCCCGAGTGCCGATGCGTAACCCTATCAAAAATTTTAGTTGGTGGCGAGCCTGAATTAGGGACCGCCTAGGACTCGGACCGAACGTAAATCAGCTTCTCTATGTCCGCTTTATGGTCTACATTCCGGCCCACGAATCAGACAGTTACCAGAGCCTGGTGAGGGGACTGAGGGGATTCTGCCAACTCTTGCCCTACTCTCAGGAGACCATAAAGTCGGCCAGGAGGTTCTGACTAGACGCTGATTGCGATCAGTTGGCCAACTGACCCAGAATAACTTTGCGCCGAGTGTAGTGACTATTCGGCCGAAGCCTAGGCGGTCCCCGAATTTTGTTAGGGAAGTTGTGTGCGTGTGTCTGTGTGTGTGTGTATGTTTGTGTATGTGTGTATGGTAGAATGTACACGACCCGCCAAAGAGTCGTGGAGCTAAGTGACCCTCACTCCTGACCCTCCGCCTCCAGGAGACTCCCATCATTGGCCCCACGACACGCCGCGCCTGGAACGATTGGTGTAGCGGCGGCAGCGGCGGTGGTTCATCTGCAGCCTCGTCAATATCATCCTCATCACGCGGTTCCTCGACTAACTCCAAAACTCTGTCCGTCTCTAACTCGAGTGGGTTAGAAGAGCACCCTACCGTCAATGGCCCCATCACCGGTAAAGTGTTTAGTGGATCATCCCCCAATCACCTGAGTGTAGCGTTCAAGCCTGCCGTCGAGTCAACTCACGTCTCAGGTCTTACATCAAATGCCCACTTGAGCGGCAGAAGCAGTAGTGGTGGTCGTAGCGGTCGTCGTAGTCAACGCAGTAGTGGCAGTGTGGACAGCGTTGGTAGCAGTGGTAGCAGCACTACTGCCGTCCCGGGTACCATGGAGAGCTTGATGTCTCTCAGCGTGGACAATGGGCGTGCTGATGACTTACAGTCTGAAACCTCGAGACATGTCAAGTGCCGGCAAAGTAGCTCGTCGCGAACGCCTTCAACTCATGCAGAGAGTAACAGCGAGTCTGAAGTACCGCTCGCTTCTGAGCTGCTTGAGCAAAATTCCATGTCGGGCCTAAACAACGGATTTTCGGACCTGCGCGGTGCCTTACCTGTCCTCCACATTGGTTTGTCTGCATCCACGTCTCTCAGACGGACACAGAGACGAGCCGCCGCAAATAAGCCGTCCATTATCGATGATCCAGACCCTCCTATAGTGGTGAGTTGTGTGCGTGTTTGTGTGTGTTAGTATGTGGTCTTAGAAGCAGTGTGGTAAACATATTATTCTTGTGTTCTCATTTTTCTTTTGTATGAATGCTTTATTATCAAAAGGCCAGTGTTCATAGTCAGGGTGTATGGGTAATTTAAACCTCGTAACTCTGTAAATATTAGTCTGCTTAATTAGAAGCTCTCCATCTGCTATATCCCATGGATGGCGTCGTGATGAAAGTCGCTCCTAACATTTTCAGTGTGTTTTATGGGATCTATACTGGGTTATCTTCTTTGTACTCTCCGATTATTTCCTGATATATATGGAATATGGTTCATTTTGTTCTTACTCTCAATTTTGTAACCTGGGCATTGAGATCGTCGCACTAGTTACATTATCGCTTTTGCTTGACTTCTGTTTGGATAGGTTTGCTTTTACTCTTTCATTGCTGAACATTCATGTGCTTATTTATGCTGTTAGTTTCACAGTGCCGTCTATGCTGAGCTTGCTTCTCATTAAGGTTTTTGCTGCCCCCCTCCTCTAATTAACTCGCTTCAATCAATGCAACTGACAGTTGGTTTTGTGCTCATTAGTATCAATTCTTTCGTGTGAATTATTTTGATCTCATAACTAATCACCTAAACTTAAGTTCTGATATTTTGCGCTTTGAATCTACCTGCATATTTGTTAACGTTGAATAGAAGACTCTTCTGTCGGTGTGGTGAATGGCGTTGCGCTTGTGTACGGTGTCCGGTGATCCTACAGCTTGAGCGATAGTGGCCTTGCTACGTCTGCATCACAACATTTTCGTTTAGACTAATACATTAACTAACTCCCGAGTGCTTGTTAGAATTTAATTTGAAGTTTTACAAAGAAGTTCTTTGTGATATCCATGTGCTAGTCAGAAGACTTTACCCACTTGTTGCAATAGCCGTGCCTCGCTTTTTGCGTTGTTTGACGTACGAAAAATTCAATGTTATAGAATTCGATATTCTTATCAAGTCGTAACGAGCTAAAGCTCGTATTTCTTTGGGCGTTGATGGTCGTTTTAGTGCATGTGCGTGTCGTGTGCCTAAATCACATGTGCGTGTATTGTGCTTATATTACATGTGTGTTCGATGTAAAAATATTTTTTATTTTTGGTACGACAATTTCTTTTTTGAAAAAATTGTTTTTTGGCACGACAGCTACGGCCGAGTCGCCGCAGCACGACGATGCAGGGCGGGCCTCACGGTGGGGGACGCCGTGGCGGTCGTAAGGGCGGACGAGCTGGCAAAAAGGCTCCTCCGATCCACAAAATCAACGGCCTTGATCTCCTTCACACACGGACGTTGCTCAGCACAAATGTCCAGAGTAAGAGCAGCTTGTTACTCAGTTACATATAAGGCTTTTAATCGATCAATTATGTGTTCATTAAATATCTGTTTATATTTTAAACTTTGAAGTGATTTCGCTACAATAGGAAGCGTGTGTAAATCCGTCTTCATATAATATATTAGCTTAATGGTGGGGAATACTGGAGCTGTATAGGGTCTCAGTCTAGAGACATTACATAAACACGCTTACGGACGCAGATATGCGACCAATAGTTGTGATGTTGTTGTTGTGTTTTTTTGCGTTCTTAACATTATAACTGAAGACGAAGTTATTCGAATTGGTTAATGCAATACTTCAGATCCCTGCTTCTCCTGACCTGAATTGTAATGAATTGACTTGACCGTCGGGTGTCGGATATCCTCTTTCAGAAGCTCGCTCTATTATTATGTTCAAGTACATCTATCAGCACCATTACAGAGCCGTAACAATGGCTGTAATGCGCGCCTGCTTCCGCAACTTAAGTTGTATCCATAAACAAGAGTTTTGCGTTGCCACATGCTTGCAGTCACTTGCGTCATCTCAGCTAGCTTGTGAGCTTGCCATCTCTGCGGTCACAGTTCCCAGTTTTTATTGTTCTCAGTCGTAACTGTTGGATTGTTCACGTGTAACTAGTCTCTCAGATTAGCGAACTTTACGAGTTTGGCACATAGTATGCTGTTTCGTAAAGTTTTTCTTTTCCTGAACGATTTTACTCAAAATTAATACGTTTTAAATTTGGTGCTTGCATCATGCAAGCTTAAAATCAAAGTAACTCTTGATGTTAATGTCGTTTTTTATGCCTCTGAAAAAGCTGTGTGCTGAAACGTATGTTCTATAACATCGCCTCGTGTTTTTTTCGTAGCTCGCCTCCTCGCAGTTCTCAGGTGTTTAGTTTAAGAAGAACTCAATTCGTTCAATGTATCTTACTTACCTGTCATGAAGCTGGTGATCAAATGTATTGTCAGCCTACAAATTTCTACTACGACCACCCATCCAGACATCAAAACTTATCTCTCATATAGTCATATATTGAACTTAGCATCAATTACATTTGATTATTTTTTTAATGAATACACTTTTTGAGAAAATGTGTGCTGTCGTCTTACATCAATGTTCTTCGACAAAATTGCTGCTATTTTGAACCAACCTGAGGAAACATCACGCAATTATTAAACATTTATTAGTGTAAGGTCTTAACTATAGCAACTCCTCTTGGGAATGTAGGTTGTTTTATTTTGCCTTAATTGCCTGACTGCTGTTCTCTGCTAAAACGTTGTAATTCTCATATAAGGGACAAGTTCTTTGATGAGACTTATTGACAAAGCTACTGATTTGCAGTTGAAGAAGTACGTCAGACCTACAAGGAGGCGGCGCCAGGCTGCATAGACCAGAAGTTATCTCTGTTCTCTGCGTCTGACGGCATCATGCGGCACGAAGAGCTGCCGATCCCACCCTCGACGTCCGCACCCTACGCCCTGGAGGTGCTGCTCGACTCCTTCCGCCAGCAGTTCATGGAGATGCTCGACAGCATGAGGCACGACTCCTACACTCACTTCGTCTCCAAACAAATCGAGGAGGAACGGGTGAGAGTTGCGCTCGTATCAGTCATATCACTGTTATGTTGTAGAGTTGTATACCACATATTTCATTGTACCACTGATATTCATAAAATGTATTTAGTCGTAATATATGAACCGTTTGTTTGCTGCTGGCGATCATTCAATATTTTTACGGATTACCTTTATCTACGCGCAGGCCAAGAACAAGTCACTGAAGTCGCGCGCTGCTCAGCTCGAGCGTCAGATCAAAGTTCTCATTGACGACTCAGTGACGCTCCTCAAAGCCCGCATAGCCGAGCTCGGCATGGCCGCCGCCAACCCCGAGGACCTCCTCAACAGGGCTAAGGTAAACCACTATGCTAAGAAGGGCGCGTTAGATGTCACGAACCTTCAGAACAGCTTTTCAGAATCAGATTTTCTGCCAAGTAGCGAATCTCGATACTCTTACTGCTGTTTACTTCATGCACATGTTTCACACGCGTGTGCTTTCTAAGTAGCAGATGTATGCCGTGATCAGTGATATCCCTTCAGCACGATCTTAAACTAAGCCATGCAAACATCATGTACGTCTTGAACGTATCTAAGCCAAATTCAATCTCTGTCTGTACGATATTGGCCTAACCCTAATTGTCTTGTGAGTTAGACGCGCGATGCTTGCATGGTTAGTTACTGAGTTTGGCATACTCAATTTGGAAGTAAATGTCGGATGTTTTCCATTTTATGCACGCAGCAAAAATTCCTATTCGTTTCTGTAGTTTGTTTGCGGTTTAACTTTTTAGAGTAACGTCTTGAACAAGTAGAAGAATGAAACTCTTCTTCTTCTTTACTCGTGCGCCACCATATCAACTGTTCGACATCGTCGACGGCGAGTTGGAGGTGGTGCTAGACAAGGCATCGGCATTACTGTGGCCGCCCGGAGCAGCATCTGCATGCCCGCTCGAATGTCACTCGCTGACTGAGCTCGTGTGGCTGGCTCAGCCTGGCTGGGCTCGAGCGCCAGTCACGCTGCCGAAGAAGCGCTCAGCCCACATATTTATACTACACTAGTAGACTAAGCTACCTAGTCTTATTACAAATAAGCAGAACTAAAATTTTATTGATCTGAGACCTGGAACTGAACTCAGTTTCGAAATATCATAAAATTCGCGCCTGTAAAACTTTCTGGTAACCTTTTTATTGTGAGGTTATATGGAGTGTCCGTTTTGTTTATAGGTAATCCGTACGTTAGGTTTAACTGCGAACAGTTTTGAACTTCTGTTGAATTATAACTCGATTAATCAAATTAGTTAGTGATTACAATGAAAATAATCAGAAAAAATTGTTCACATAGATTCTCAAACTCACTTTTATGAAAAAGGATCTCTTGGTAATTATTTATAATTACGCAGATGAGAGAACTTTGTTTAACAAACTTGCTCTGTTTCCGTTTATGAGTTTCATAATTGACTAGTAGCAACTACTAATTTAAACGAACTAGGTGGCACTAAGAAGATATTTTATGTATGGTGCTTGTATTCCCTCGATTAATTTATATTGCGTGTTGCAGGAGATTGTATGGCGACACAAGGAGCTACAAGCGCACGTGTCGGCGCTACAGCAAGGCGTCGCGGCGGCAGAACAGGAGCAGGAGAAGCTAGTGCGACGTCGCAAACATGAGATCCTCTCCAAATACTCGACTAACAGAAGCAACGGACACGTCAATGGGGTGAGAAGTTTTGAAACATCTCTGTCTCAGTGGCAATTTAATGAGAGTTAAAGCAACGCTTACTGTTCGAACTTTGTGATTTCATAGTGCTTCTTTTTTCCATGTCTACAGACGATTGACTCGTCTCAAATCAGCGAGGACTTCATCCTGAGAGAAATATCCTTAACTTTGTCACAACGTAAGAAGCTTCACGTTCAAGTCTCGAAGCTGGAGAGCGAGCTCACTACGTTGGAAAACTCGTGTCAGCTCAGCGACACTCAGCACGGTCAGGCCGTCGCAGGGGCTGGCGCCGCGTCCGCTCCTGTCGGGAAGGCTGCCGCCTCTAACGTCCTGGGCCGCGTTGAACGGCTGCCCTGCTCTGCTGTAGGTGAGAGGGTCGCCACCATAGCTGGTGGTAGTACGGTTGTGCTCACGGCTCCTCCTTCTGAAAAGTCTCCTGGCAGACACGGCTCGTCGCTGAGTCCTGCTTCTTCCTCCAAGTCCAGGCATCGCAGCAGGAACCAGGAGTGGCCTGCCGTGCCTGACATCGGCAAGATTGAGGAGAAGAATCCTGAGCTGCTGGCCATGAAGATATTAGAGACTGGCAGACAAATCGAGGCGGGCAGAATACCTGTGCTTCCTCCGGGTGAGGAATGCTTTCTATCATTTTCATTCAAGTAAATGTTATGCCGTTGTCAATTAATTAATGATGTTATGTTTTCTCAGGCTTCGTTGTACTTTAAAAATGTTATTTTGCAGATGTCATAATTTGTTCATATTTCTGTTGTCCGCATTATAAAATTAAATATTCAAACGCACTGAAACTCAATTGAGTTGAAATTTCAGGAAGTCCTTCAGAATGATATTAAAATATTATTTATTTACAGGCACAGAAGTGCGCTGCGTGGAGTTGAGAGGCAACAACACTCGCATAGAATACAACCCCATGACGCGTGTGCCACAGCACCCACAGCACCTTCCAACTTCTTCCCATGTTCCCTCCACGTCATCCTCCCTCCCACCGCACTCGTCACAGTCACATCAAGCTTCACATGTGCGCTCATTATCTCCACAATCTCTTCACCAGCATCCCGTGCACCAACAGCAGCAGCTTCGTAATTCAGCCCCCAACAAAGATGTTGCGCGTGTGGTTCTAGTATCTCACCGATGTCCCCCTGGGGCTATTGCCGTCAAGGAAAATTCTAAAATGGTTGTCCCCCCTCACTCGTCCCCGCAACTTGGTGTGCACGGCATGCCTTCCCTTGCTCCTCCTCAACGCAGTCCAGTGGAACGACAGTCCACGTACCAAGCGCTCAGGAACAGTTTAGATCTCTTACAAAAAGGACAGCAAGCTCCGCCACCTCCTAATCCAGATGCACAAGATAGACTCAAGCTTATTATCGCTGATGTACTTAATGAAGACAAGCCACCAACCGGCATGCATATGCAAAACAGTCCGACCAAGATGCAGCAGAACGTCAATCAACCTCTAGGCAGAAATCCAAGTTCCGACCGATACATGCAGCAGCAAACCTACGATCCATCTGGTACCGTAGGCAGACGAGTACCTGATCCTCTGAATAGAGTAGTTGAGGGCAGACCAATGGCTGCCCATACCCTTACTAGGGCAGACATGAGCCCACACTCCATTGATAGACGAGCGGCTGAGATGATGCGCATTGATGACAGACGTAAGTTCATGCGGACGTCCAACGACGGTCGTACGGCAGACGAGGCTCTAGCCAGGGACGTTCTACTGCGCATGTCTGATGGAGTACATATACGAGAAGCCCACGCTACAGGGCCTTTGCGTAGGGACACCTCTGGGTCACTTCATCGGCACGATGATGTTCGCTCCGTTCATCAAGATGATCGCTTCATGCATCAAGAGGAGCGTCTATTGCATCAAGATGAACGCCTGCATCAACCGCAGCAGCAACAGCATGCATCCCTGCCTCCCTCGAGTACTGGCGCTATAATGTACCAGTCTCAGCACCTCCATGCTGGGGAAGGCTTACATTCACAAATGGTGGCTTGTTCTCGCGCTTATCACGCGACTCCTCAACACACTTACCGACCCCATACCGACGCTATCCGTGGTCCTGGTGGTGAGAGTGGGCAGGAAAGCGTTGATACCTTGTGTGGCGAGGAGGATGACGGAGCACGGGTGGTGTTGATGCGTGACGAGCGTGGGAGGGACTTGTCTGCTAGAGGCGCTATGGATGATCGCCGGTTTATGGTGGACACAAGAGTGGCAGGTTTCCAGCAGCCTGACTACACACAGGTTTGTATTCCTTTGTAGGTTTATTTCGTGTGTTGTTACAAGCAGTTTGATTTACGATGTCATGACTTCTTTTACTTTAATACTGTAGTTTTATTTCATTTTTTTGCTTTTAAACTGCTTTTTATGATCACTTTCGCGTTATCCCTCATTTTTAATGTTTTATATTTTCTGAATATTCATGTCATTTCCAATGCTATGTATTTTATTCACGTGTTTCTACACGTCCTCTCTTTGTTCCTTAGGTATCTCCTGCTAAGCTTGCTCTGAGGCGCCATTTGTCGCAAGAGAAGCTGGCACTTGAATCAGGGGGCAAGCGGCCACACTCTCGCTGCAGCTCGAACTCTTCTTCTGACCTGGTCATCGTAGAGACTCCTGATAACTCGTGCGGCGTTGCTGGTAATTCCATAGCTACCCGTTTACCGGACAACTCACGGCTACCTGACCGCCTCTTAGGGGAGAGACTTGCAGAGCGGGGCTTGGAAGTAATTCCCACTGGTCCTCCTCCCACTCCTCCAACGCAACCTACTCCCCCAGTACTGACATCCCCTACTCTTACCACTCCCCCTACTCCTTCACAACCTACCTGCTCCATTTCCCCCGTCGATATGACGTTGTCATCAAAGAACTCTTCCCGACCGGGTTCACGGCTTGCCGTGGACGACACTAGAGGCGCGTCTATAACTCCGGACGGTTCGCTGCGTCCACTTTACTCGCCTGTCTCGCGTCCGAATTCCACGGAGGCTTCGTCCGGGGCTCCTGACAGCGCACCTAGCATGGGCGGGCCTTTTGCCCGAGCGCGATCACCTCGCGGCGTTCAGTTTTACAGCACCGAGAAGCCCTTGATGCCGCCTCCAATCCCGTCCCCTGGACGCGACGGCCTTGAGGCTCGACTGGCGCAGCTGCAACACAAAAGTCTTCGAGCTACACCACCCACTGCTGTGTCCCATGCTAGCTTCGTCTCTGCATCCTCTGTTCACACCAACAACCTGCCATCCCACTCAATATTCAGCTCAAACGTGGACCGTAGCGCTCCTCAGCTTGAGCTGACCTCGTCGTCTGGAGGCCAGTCAGCGGCGGTGTCAGCCATCACGTCGGCCATCGCTGCAGCGGCAACGAAGTACGGCAGCTCAGCCAGTGGTAATCAAAACAACTCCTCAGTAGCGACGTCGTCTCCTCGTCACAATACCCCTCCTTCTCCCGTCACTTCTGCTGCTGCTGGTGTTGGCAGTTCCCAGCGCCTGGCTTGGGATTCAGATCCTAAATTACCGAACGGGGACATCGGCGACGCTGGAAGTCACGGAGCTGCTGCTCCCGCCGTCGAAGGCTTGGCTGCAGCATTGCAGGCTCGCTATATGATGCAGAAACAGCAAAAAATGCAACCGCAGGTAAGTTAATCGTATTAATAGTTCGTACTTTTGAGAAAAATTTAATCCTTGGTAGAGGATAAAAATATAAGCTCTGTTTTTCCCGAGAGGATTAACATGATCGGATACTTTTGTAAAGCCGTTATTGGCTTCCCGCTAATTGTCACCTAAAGCAATATGAACCTAAATCGTATTTTGAAATATTTTTTATTTGTGTGCAGGCTAACATCAAATTAGAGCCTCAAGAGCGGTGTGAGGAGCCTTCCTCAACCGGAACCCCGCCAGGCTTTCCTGAATTTCAAAAGCGCAAAAGGCCTCCTTCACCCTCGTCATCTGCCCCCGTTCCTAACAAGAAAGTTTTATTGAGTCTCCCTCACTCAACTTCGCCGGCGTCATCGAGCTGTGCAACCACCACTACCATTACCACCGCTTCAAATTCCATCTCTTCTTCTACCAACACCTCTCAGTCTGCCCCAGCTGGCGCTAGATCTTGTCCCTCATCAACAAGCATTACATCTTCCCCTCGAATTTCAAACTCGTCCAACTGCTCTGCAAATGGTGCCAATAATGATGTTGTAGCCGAAGTAGTGGCACCGGAACCCAGCGTCAACTCACCGGCACCGAATGCGACGGAGAGCTCATGCCCTAATTCCATATCGTCTAGTTTATCATGCTCAACTATTTCAAGCGTTACGGTCTCCTGTAACTCTTCAACGACATTATCGTCTCCTACGACCAATACCGTTGATATTAACTCTTCAATCTCTAATACCAACTCGAGCAGTTATAAAAACAGAGGATGTGGCAATTACGGAAATGCAAGCAACGGCAACTCCTTGCCTCACTCGGCTTCCGCAACGCTTGCTGCCATTTCTGCCGCAGCCACCAGCTACTCTAAAGATTCTAATCAGAGAATTGTTAACGGCCCTGCAAGCGACACCAAAAACTGCCATGAAGACGTCAAGCCGCGTGTCAACGATATCAAAATGGCGAAAAACGAGAATGAATTTCCTCACAATCATAATAAACCACCTAGTCGATCGTCAGGAGAGATTCTCAAAGGGTCAAGTAACAAAATGAGCAACGCTACCAATAATTACATGCCGTACATGAATTCCCAGAGTCATGTGGACACTCCGCCTCTTCTGCCACCACCGCCGCCTCCACCGCACCTGAAAATGGAGCCAGTCGAGCATAAGTCTGAAGCAGGTGAGTTCTACCAGAAAGCTGCCCTTGAATTTTCAAATTCTAAAGCAGTCTCCTATAAATCTGCTCGTGCTGGCTTCAAACGTATACCAATCTTAGCAGTAATCATGTGTCCATCTGGCAAGCTGAGTATCCTATTACCAACATCAGTTATTAAATTTATATTATTTTCCTTCCTAAATGTTAATTTCAAGTATTCAGAATTTAATTCAGTAAAATAGTGGTTGTAATATTTGTTGTAGAGTAGCCACCAGTTTCTACCTCCGTGAGTATATATAAAGCTGTTACTTGAACCGTATCTAAAGTAGTGCCTGCCTGATCTCTGTTCCTCGTAGCACTTCTTCCCAATTATCATTATATCTTTTGACACATAATCTGGGAAAAAACGCTCCTCTGTAGTCTTTAGCCCGTTTATCATTTCCATGCATTATTTCGTAACGAAGTAAATTGTTCAATTAACGACCAAGTTGTATACCTTTTAACTGGGAAGTGTCCAATGAGCTTTTTGCATTAAAAGAGGCGCTTTCTTTTCCTGACGTTATTTGCTGTCTTATGAGTCACTTTTTGTACGTACTTGATATTACTTCGGTATTTTACATGTATTAGTCCATTTCGCATATAAAAATTGCACTTGGTTATGACCTGACTTCAGTCTAGGCCACAACACACTTCTTGCCTGTACTTATATACTTAACTTTACTCTAGCATCTATTTACATGGTATCGCTTGTTCCTATGTTCACTTCGTTAACGTATGCTATGATGCGCATCAATGCACCCTATAGCGTAGCCGGAGCTCATATTATTATTCGCTTTATTTGGAATGTCTGCGAGCCATTAGATGCAAGATACGCAAAAAAATAACTTCTTCTCTCACTTTTCTGTGGTTTGTTTGATGTATACCCTCGAGTAAAGAATATCTTATCTATTGTAGCTGTTGAATATCCGTTTGTTTCTTGTTCATTAATTTTCCGAGCTGATTTCCTTGTTCGGTGTATTCATTTAGCGAATACATCGCATGTTTCCCCCTGTGGAATCTTCATCCTATTTCCCTTTCTTTCCTACGCATATACGACACACTCACTCACAGCCCTGTACAGAGGGTCGTTCTGTCGCCATGTTAAGCACATCTCATTTTTGGCATTCTTTTCTCGACATTCTGCTCGTCCATGCGGTGAACATCTGCTGCTCCTGATAATCTAACATCGTCTGCTGATCCTGTTCGCAACGCGTCCGACGTGCCTGCTGCTGGTCATCATTGGTATTTTGGGGCGTTGAACTCGACGTTTCTCTTGAAAACTAGTACCAGGCGATTGGTCGGCTGTGAGGATGAACGGCGTCAGAGGTCCAGTATCTTCGACCGCTTCAGTGTCTGGCGCTCCGTACGCCTTTGGTGCGACAACAACACATTCATGGGTTGCAAACGGCCCGTACCATAGCAGCAACGGATACCTTCGTTTCCAGCAAAGAAGCCCTCATCCTCTCCACAGTCTTAGCGCGCCAAAATTCCACCAGCGACCGCGGCCAATGCAACCAATGCTCTATGGACCTCCACCCTTGCCCAATTCTATTGCACGACCTCGTAATCTAACTCGCTTCTCTTCGCCTTCTGCTCAACCTAGACCGTAGTATAAGTTAAAGCTCCGTCGTCAACTATTTGGTGAGTCAAATCTTATTCCAGCTCATTCATCTGTAAGACGTCAAGTGCTCTAAGCAATTGTTATATTTTCTTAGTTTAGTGACCAATAAATTAATTTTATTTTCACTTAATTATTCTATTGGTTTATGGTATTTTTAATTAATTTGTCATTATTCAATTCAAACTTATTTAATTCCCATAGTTTTCACTGTTACAGATTAATTTTTTCTTCACATTTTTAACTTTTCCTCCCGCGTAGTGAATTTTTAACTCTGAAAACCCAATTCTTGGGTCATTGACGGCATTTGATTTTCTCCAAAATTGTGAGTAAAACGTTGCCCCTTCTAGTTGAACGATTAATGTGATGCTTCAGCATCAGATAGTGACACTCATGATGAGATTGTAATGACGTTCATTCCGGCAGGTGGGGCGGTCGTGCGTCCGGAGTCTCCACAGCTGGAGAACTGGCAGGCGCAGATCAACAGCGGCTTCGACAAGCTTGTTGCGTACGCGGCTGAAGTTGACAAGCGGCGCAAGTCTTCGGAAACATCACTGATGTCATCCCCCCACCCTGATGTTTGCCACGACGGGGCGTATCCTGGATTTACAAATGTGGGGAAATCAACTTCACATCCTCTTTCTCAGGGCGGTGGCATTGCTGCTCAGTCATATTCGCGCTCAGACAGAGACCGCAGAATGAACCATACGGCCAGTGGTCTTGGGGCGAGACTTATGGACGGGGCACGGCCAGTTGGTGTTCCTTATTCCCCACACTCCCCACATTCAATGTTAAACCCCGTAGCGTCACCTCACGGTGGACCTCCCAGCCCACAATCTCCCCACATGCCTTTACAGACTCCTCCCATCTCCTCACCTCCTCCTACTCCATCTCCAGATCTACGGCATCCTTCTGAAGGAGGGAGCATCGGATCATCTCACCTACCGTCCCCTCCTCACTCCCATCAAGCTATGCAGCATTCCAATAACTTCTACGAGCATCATTTTAAAAAGAAATTTTATCACAAGGAGAGAATGAGCCCAATTGATCAGAGTCTGCCCAATAACCACGACTCGAGGCCTAACAAACACAATCACATGACAGCCCCAGGCTCAGGACATGCAATCCCTAAGACCGAGCGACTAAGTCCGCATGACATGGATCCGTCCATGATGAACCACGGCATGTCCCAGCAGCAGTACCACATGCAGTCCGTCCCTCATCAGCAATCCGGCAAATTTCGGCCCAAGGGTAAAGATTGGCACTGGAGAAACTCTAGAGACTCGTCCCATCACATGGCTAATGATGCTGGTATGGTGAATGCTATGCATCACCAGCAGCAAGCATATCATCATCCACCGCCGCCACCACCACCTCAATCCATGCACCACAACAGTCAACGTTCCATGCGTCATACTCTTCATCACCCCATGAATCATCACCACCACCCGTACTCTTCTAATCCCGGAGGCATGCCTCACCATAACTCAGGCAATGGCGGCCAAATGAACCATCACCACTCACGACACATGACCCATCCTCATCACCATCGCATGATGGCAGGACCGGCCGGAGACATGGGACGGAGTCAAATGGCGACGCCTGGCGGTGCTCCCGGCTACTACAATCACTCCTAAAAAAGCGCTTAGTTAAACGAATAAATTGAAGGGATTTGTGTTGACTGCGTGTATCCTGGTATCATGAGCACAGAATTTTTATTGCTGCTTGCGGAACGAGGAAAAAACACGTCTTCTCCATTAATGGGCATGCTTGAGGAAGAGTGATGTTATTTAAGGCCGGCGGTTCTGCTTTGGGTTATTTCGTGTTGAAGCTTCACTCAATGTCTTAGGCCATTTATCGACTACTTCACTGTTCTAGGAAATAAGTAGTCCAGATCTCATCTTCGATTAATGTTGAATCATGCGAGGTGGTCACGTTAAGATTCCATTCTCTGTGCGTTCTTTAACCGAGTCGGCGTTAGAGATATTTGTAAACAATTCTGTTACGTTGAAAGTGCTGGAAAAAGTTTTTGTGGTTGATGGGTGTGTTAATGCAAGAAGATATAGTATAAAGTGTGGTATGTGGTAATGTTCTTCGTGCACATGAACTGTTGTAAATACAGATGTTGAGGCGAAGCATGTAAAACACAACGCTGACAGTTGCTTATCAAGGGTGGACTTGCTAGTTCCATCATGTAGCGCGGTCCATTGAAAATTGCCTTATTATTTCTGGTATCTTTAACTGTGAACTCTTTTATGTTTTTTTATTAGCTGTTATTTATTTCGCAAGGCTATTTTTAGTGAATATTAAACGTGCTGTTGCTGGAACACGCTTCTGACTTCGTGAGCTAGCCAATGATTGAGGCATTAAGAGGATAGCTCGGGCTTGATTTGCTATACTTTGTCATTTTTTAATTTGGATTTATAAAAATGTTCTTACTTTGCCTTGGGAATAACCTTCCTGAAAAATTTGTCCAATTCGAAACTAACTTTGAAATCAAAGTTGTTTTTGTTCTAGCATTTGTTTAGCATTGCCATCGTGTCCTACTTATAATAATTGTAACGTTACCTGCACATGTGAGGTCACTATGATTCTTCTCGTCGCTGAGTTTTTTTCAACTTGTCTTGATATAAGATTTGTGTTTGCCATCTTTCAAACTTCAGTCGAAGTGATGATAGTTGAAAACTTATTTCCACATCTGTTTGCTGGGAAAATCGGGATTTTTACATTTTTTTCTGCTTTTGAAAAGTTGGGCAGTCTTCAAATGTGGATGAAGCTGTACCTGAATCGTGTTATTTTCTCGGTTTTCAATGATTATTTCCTGCGATAGATGTAGTCTTTTCTTTCGTTTCTTTTTCTTGGGCCAAAAATCTATGAGATGAATTTGTTTCTGGTTTCTGGGCAGATAAGGATATCCAACGTTTTCGTGTCCCACCAGTGGAAATATATTCAAGTTTTGCGGAATAAGCAGGACATCAATACTTGAGCCGATATATTTTTGATGCCCTGGTGCGAACGTGTATCAAGTTTGCTAATCTTGTATTTATCAAGTAACAATGTCAATTTCTCATGATATTATAGAACAATGAACTGATTCATTTTTTACATGAAGAAGCAAATTTTTCTTCCTCTTCCTCTCTGATTAACTTGTGTGTGCGTTGGTCGAGGTAAAAGTTCGATGGATTAAGTACATCAATTTCAATTGCACGTCAAATCGAGAATTTGGCTTGAGTTCAGTCACATCGCAGACTGTCGAAAATTGTCTGCTCTCAAATGACGTTAATCGCGTTTGATGACGATGAGTTTGTCCAGGTTTTGGGTTTTCTTTTTTCAAAATTTTTTATTAAGATGAAGATTGAAAATTGCAGGAAAAATTGATGATATGATTTTCGAATTCGTCTATTGCTTTTATGTCCATTTTTATGAAATGCAGTCTGAATTATAAACTAAATGTGTAATTTTAATGACTATGACTTGTAAAATTGTCCCTCTGGCCAAGTTTCTATCACTTACATGCTACGAGTGTGGTATCGCGCTTCTTGATTTCTTTGCAATTTTAATAAATTTTTCATTCAACCAAAATATATGTAATTTCGAAAAATTACTTGCAAATTTTTCGAGTAATTTTGGAGACGACTGATCTTTGTCATTCATGCATTTTGAAAAATAAATTCTAAAAACTACTAAATTAATTGATGATGAGGTTTAAATTTCTCGTTACCCTAATATACAATTTTCTGTTGGGAGCGAAGGCCCGAGTGTTTTTTTCGATTTCTGTGTGTCTGTTTTGATATGCTCTTGTTATAAGCGGAAAGTGCCACGCTATTAATGTTTGGCCCTTTAACATCAGTCTGAACACTGCCAATTATTTACCGAGTAATTAATGAAGTGAACCGTTTCCTTATTTTGACTCTGAATTTACGTTCTATATTTACTATAATATCATATAATTCTGTATTATTTCTGCGGTGGACATGTTGTTACTGTTGACTCTAGGTATTTATGCCTTTGCTCTGTTCTTTCTCGTGTTTGTTGATTGCAATGTCCAACAAGTGATCGTTTATTAAGTTGGAACATTGTTACAAATAATTGTGTTCATTTAGCATTGTATGCTTAGTGTAGAGGATAAGATTGCTGATCACTGTCAACTGATTGTGTTTTATTTAGATGATTACGTGTGGGATTCTCTTGCCTCGTTTGTCTCGTCCTTTCAATAAGCAGGCACGTCTAAGTTGCTGGGTGTGCTGAGGAGAGCGTGGGGCTTGAGTAACTTCATCTGTAGAGTGTGTAGTTACTGTAGATATTTCTGTTGGTTATGACGAGACTGTCCATGTGACAATCTTCCATGTAAGAAGAAGCAAGCGACTCGTAGTATTGAACTTAAGCATACAGGCTTCGTTGCGATTTGCAACTTTCATTCATGACATATTTGGATTTTTAAATGTATGAAATGATGTCTGGGCACTGCATTTAGTGCATTTTTCAGCCATGCTCATCACAAATCAATGTCACACCTGGTCTCAATTTACTTCTGATCTCAGGGCATCGCTTGCTATTCTGGATGTCACCTTTTATTATTTTCTGACGACTGAAGCGTTAAATTTGTTGCAAGCTATGTCGATTTCAGGAAAAAATATTTCATTTATATGTGTTATCGTTTATGTTAGTTCTGATTTTTGGGCGCCTTTTTAGAAATGAATCGAAGAGGGACATGTTTTCCTAAACTTGTATGACTGTACATATATTACTGTGGATCGATAACTGCCGCTCTGAGTATTTCTTTTTGGTGGATTACAGCTGCAGTTGTCTGTAATAAACAAATGTCATCTAATTTTTTTTTCTTCTCACAAATCATTTGGTCATTTCTTTTGCTCTTCTCAGAAGTTCGAGAATGTCTTGTGGCACTTGTAGTGAAGAGTGTAGTGCTGCCAGTGTAGTGATGAAAGATTCTAGTGGAAATTTCCTGCACTCTTACGTTACATTCACTCTTTTGCGACCCGGGGCCATACTTTCAAAACTCGCTAAGTGAACGTAAGTACTTACGCTCTATTTACTTGTCTATGATTGGTGGATTTTGTTCGAAAGGCCGTCAATGATTGGCTGATGAACTTACGATATCTTAACTTTTTTGAAAGTATGGGCCCCGGTCATGGACGAAGCTCAAGTCGTCAGCGTTCACCTGCTCGCTGAATCTACCGAACTGCTGTGGATGTTTAATGTTAACCGTGCGTTGACGGAAGGTTTCGAAGCTACAGCTACGCCTTCATTTCACTACCGCGATGTTTGTTACCAATAAGTGTGTTATTGTTCATATTAAACTGTAAGTATAACTTTGCCTCCAGTACAAAAAGTTTTCTATACACGCGGACAAAAATCATTGACTGCGGCAAACGTGTTTGAATGTAGTGGTACGCTTGAAGAATTTCAGGGAGCCTTAGGTAAATTTTTATGAATTCTACTGCGGCGCAGAAGTTAATTCCCATTTGCCGGGCAAGAATAATTATTCTTAACTATGCAAAATACACCACAGAATCCTGGTTGTGTATATTCCTGTAGTCGTCGCTGTTAATGTGTAGTTTGATTCTTTTCACGAAAGAGAAAACATTGAAAATTTGTCAAATGAATAAATCAGCTCTACAGGTTCATGTTCAGCTTCCTGTTAATGGTTAAGTCCGCCTCGCTTCCTCTGCGTGGATAAATGCGACCTGTCGAACAACTTGACGTTAACGTTTCGTGCTATAGTTGTACAGCGAAGACTGAAGTGTATACTGTAAATATGTACAAATAAATTTGCTTTGAATTGTTCTGCCGCTATTTGAGTAGTGTCTGTGTGTGTAAAGTTGTATCCATTGTTCAGCAATACATGCTACACTATCCAGTCAGTCGCTGTCATATTCCTCGACGATTCTACCCTGGATTTCACAATCAACTGCTGCCTTCTCAACTCCTCTATTGGCTCTAAGGGTGGTAAACTATCGTAATACGGCAACGTCTGTCCTAGAATTTACTTGACTTAAGAGTATTCATCAGCCAGGTATGAACTCTGTGAGACAGTATAAGAAGAACAAAGCTGTAAAGCTATGTACACTGTTGACTTGGGTCATGTTTTATCCTCGATCACGTAATTACAGCAACAATATTTCTGTCGCTGCAATGCCGAAAGGAAACGAGCGGTGTTTAGGCGGTCAACTCTTCCAATTAGCTTATCCGTGAGTGCCCATCCGTCCAATTAATCGGTCTTTGGCCTGCAGCTAAGGGATAAAGACTGCCTATACTTTCCGTGAATCTAGGTCCTCCAATTAACGACAATACCGCGACAACTTGACTTGTGTCAATCTGAGGAAGTTTCATTGTCAATTCGGTGCAGTGTATTTTATCTACTACAAAAAGTCTGATTCAAGAATGCCTAACATCAAGATCAGACTACAAGGACTATTGAAATGAACACAATCTCCAGAACTACAGAAAAGTTCCACGCTTCCCTTTAGCAACGGAGGTGCGAAACTTTCCGTCATGAAAACAGTTGTTATGCGAAGTTCACATATGTTGTCTAGATATACACAGTTTAAAAATATAAAGCTGAAATAGAAATTTCGGGCCTCAAACTTGAGTACGAGTGTAGTTATTGCTATCGCCGAAAGAATCAAATCGGTGCCAACCTCGTTTGTTTGACGGCTGATCGTTTTGAACTCGCAAACCGTTAGTTTCCAGATGGTTCCGTTCCCGCATAGCTTCAGCGTTGAAACCATGCTGGTCTTTAATTTGACTTTATTCTGACAAAATTGAACGGTTATATACAAATTAGCTGACTGACATGCATTTTTTATAGGCGTACCATCCATGGTTGAACTAATACAAGGTTGACCCATGCGCAGCTGTGTCTTGCGGATGTCATTAGTTATTCCACCCGTGATGTCACCTTGGTCGTTGTGACGTCACCGCGTGATTCAAACTGATTTGTAACACCTGTTTTGCTGCAAATAATACTTGTTACAGTAAATAAATTGTTTTGGGCAATTTTAATGAGGTATTTGTTTCATAGTTGAACTAATATATGGTTTTCCCTAGTGCAGCTACGTTTTGCGGATGTCATACGTTTTTCCAACTGTGACGTCACATTGCTGTTGTGACGTCACATTGGAATTGGCTCTTGTGACGTCACCTCGTGACGTCAAGCTGATTTGTAACACTGGTTTTGCTTTTGAACTTAATGTGTGTTCATTTTGAACTCAATGTGTGTATAACTTAATGTCAGTTCAACCCTATGTTAGATCAGCTTCTGGAATCCACGATGGATCATCATATCCCTTCCATTTAAGACTAGTTGCATGCAGCCGATAATTTTTCTTGGGCCATTTTGATGAGGTCAATTTTTCGAAATGCTTTCAAAGATGACATAAAAACAATGTGTTGATCTACACTTTTACATTTGTGCCCATAGTGAACCGAATCGACACTTTAGCGAGCTCAAGCGCGAACTGTAAAAATCTGAAATAAATCTGTCCGCAAATTACTAATATTATCTACTTATATTTCAAATTTGAAAGAAATCCGTTCGGTATTTATGGATCTATGACTGGGTAAGTTGAAGGTGAGGTTAGGTTTGCCTCTTGAGCTCGCGCTTGAGTTCGCTAAAGTGTCGATTCGGTCCATAGTGACCGAGTGAGATTGTTTACTATCACATGCGGTAAGTTACACACTCGTCTTTTTCAAAAATTACAAAAACAAAACATCCGTTTGGAACAACAACAAGGTACTGAATGAAGTTGAATCGAAGTTCACAAAATATATAATAGGCTGCAAAACACTTTTCATCTCCTTTTATTACACCCAAGTGACATTTTTCCTAACTCATCCATTTGCATTTTTATTATCAATTCACTTTTTCGTTAGTCAAGATTTTTTTTTGACAAGCTAATACGTTACGTAGTAGAAACGTTACGTAGAAAGAAAAACGGAAAGAAATACAAATTTCATTTCTGTTTTTTGGACTTGTCAGGAATTTTTGTGCTGACTGCTGAGCATTGGAGATTTTACTCATGCACAGTGCACTCACTGCACAGTGCACACTGCTGTTGCAATTTAGTTGCATTTACAACGGTCTGCACCGCGTTTTCGACCAAACTTTTGCTTTGGTTAGCAGGAAATGGATGAGTGACGACAGTCAAATTTTGTCATTCACAGACATTCCGAGCTGTCACAAATTCAGAGGCTTCCTGTTCTAAGCTGCTGTCGCAGATCTATAAGACTCTTGTTATACAATAATTGTGCAGAACAGCAGAAGAAATACCAGTACCGAGTAGCCTACGGCACGGTCGCCGGTCGGCACCTACGTACCGCGTGTTGTTATATCACTTAGCTAGGCTAGTCCCGCTGGGCTGCTAGTGCAATTATCTGCTACATTGCTACAATACAATAAATTGTATATAAAAAATTGACTGAATCTGAATCATGTTGGAAACTTCTAGTCTTCTATTAGGCCTAGGTTAGGTATAAATACCAACTAGGCCTAGTCTGGAAAAGTCCTATTTTTGTCTGAAATATCGCGGCTCTAATATCATATAATTTCAGTAGGTATGAAATCTCGCGGCTCGAATGTCATAAATTTTTGTTTGATTAAAAAATTGCGGTTAGGTAAAATTAGAGATTTGGGGTAACACGTGCATAAACTTTGTAAATAAATTTGCATTCGCACCTCGTAAATGGCTTTTCATGGCCGAGATATGGAATTCATGGCTTGGTGAAATAGAATCATGGCTCGTTGAAATGGAATCACGGCTGGCAAATCCATAAAACCACGGCTCGAAAAATTCAGTAGCGGCTCGCCAAGTAGATATATTTCATACTAGAACTAGGCTAGGCTAGGTATTAAGCCAATAAAGTTAAGGTCTATTCATTTTGAATATTTTTCCTCAATTAACTTGGAAGTCTTGATTTATTTAAATATTTAACATTCTTTCCAACTTCCAAGTTCCCATCAAATTCAATGCAAAATGCAGCTCACATTTTTCATAACAACCTAACCCTCTTCCAATTTAGATTTTAGAATCTTGAGCAAGTTTGGAAAACATCTAGATTCTAGGGTAAACACACCATATTCCAACACATTATTGACATTAAGGACGTAGCAAGAAATAAATGGCTATAAATAGATCACCATATGCGCAACTTGAGTTCTGAATAAATAATTTTGGCGGCCCAGTGTGGAATTCTGTATAGGTAATATATTCTCATGTCAATATAAGAAAACGTAGGTATCGAAAAACCAACCCTACCAGGCTACCACTGCGTTACACCACCTTCCACTGCAATCCACACTCAGGATGATGTATGTTTTCGGTGAATTTTCCCGCGCATTTTCACTTTTTTTAAGCTATTGCTGTGCACAGTTGGCGCAATATAATGAAAATTGATTATCTTCGCGCATGTGTTCGCGCAATCCCAGCCATCTTTATTTTAGAAGAAACTTCCTTCAAAGTCATATGGCAACACTGAACACCGTCTGTTTACATTTCGTATGTATAACAGCCGCAGTTTACGATTACCGTACGTTCCGTATCCGACAAGGCGGACAACCGGAAGAGTCAGAAGTAACCCGGACATGTCTTACATTTTATTATTGTCAGTTCGACTTGCGTAGTCAATATACTCGCGTATATTGTCGACTAAAATAGTAGAACTATTTTAGCTTTCTAAAGTACGGCGCATGGCGCATTTTTTTTACCAACGTAGTACGGCGCACCGCGCAGGTCGTTAAAATGACAAAATAAATTCCCGCACACCTGGCACATCTTCCTGACCATGGACTGCAATGAAAATTGATAAACTGAG